TTCACGACGTTCTTGAAAATTAAATATAAAATGTTCATTATGTAGTAGGTTACCGCTAATATTTTGGTGTACTTTAATACTGAGACTTAATTTTACAATTATCATAAGCTTGTAAAAGCTCATAAAATTTCAGTTCTTGTCTGTTTTAAAAACGTCAGTATCTTTGAGTGTTAGTTTATCCCAATTATATGTAGCTAGGTTTAAGAGGAATTCTAATTTCATACGGTGCTAATTAAGTGTTTTGTTTTGGCAAAACTGCGGCATAGATTGTTTAAAAAGTAAATCAGGTGTACAAAAAGATATTTTTTTTCAATAAAACAATAGAATAAATTTTGTTAGCATATTCTCCTGTGTTTTATGTTTTCAAGTTTTAGTGTCATTAATACATATATAGTCATGACATCATGTAGTGTGTGCTGGTTTAGTTCCCTAAAACAAATCTCTTGTACGTATGTAATATTCCGATTGAAAATTTATAAACTCACGTTCAGTTAGAATCCGCTAACAATAAGAGATCTGCGAATTTATTTTGAAAATTTTACTGGAGTGAAGTGGAGATGACTCACAATACGGAAATATTTAATTATGCCATTATTGCACGGTTTACAATAATAAACGAAAAGCAAGTGAAACTGAATTGAATAAAACTAAATGAAACGGACTTTACCTTAGAAAGACAATTACTTCAGAAGTTAACATGCTTAACGATTTGGCGAAAGACGAATATTAGACGACTTTACTGACAAAATTAAGACTGAGAATAAGTTATGAAAATCTTACAATATATCTTTACCAAATATGCTCAGTAGCCCTATCATTAAACTGTCTCAACACCCACCACCTACAGTATAGAAAGTGATAGAAAGGTGTCTTGTTGGTAAAGAAAAACATTTTGGAAATAGCTAAGTTAATAGAGACTTCATTGTATAGTAGATAATGCATCATGAAAATTTTTCTCGTTGTACAACAAAGCCACTTCACTAAAAGTTGGAAAACTGCAAGAAAGTGAGGGCTGGTGGTTGATGCTTACAGGATATATGTTCACTTTTTGTAAAAGGATTCAATTCTATTATAAGCTAAATTCTTGACGTTGTAATTTGTTAGCTAGAGAGTGCTGTGGGTCATAACGATGACGCCAAGATCGAAAAGTTGAATTATGTAGGTCTAGAAAGGTCTAAATATCTTGTCGTCAGATCTTCTAGTAAATTCAAGGATAGATTATAAATACAAGGTTCAGTAAAGCATCAAATAGATAGAGAATTGTTTCTAGCTGGTAACATGAATCAGTCATTGCGTTTAGAGAGGTATTTGGATCTGTGTTAATTATTACGCATATTGAGTTACTTTGTACTATTAACTGTAAAACCGTTAAAGACGAAATAAATTAATTTGTTGTTGTTATGTTAACTTGACTTTGAATTACTTTCATCAAAGAATATAAAAGAACCTGCCACGAAAGAACAACGTTACAAAAGTATACTATAAACAAATGGAACAGACTGAAGTGGGGACAAAAAGGACACATATATAATGTTGCTATAGATAATATGATTTAATTCAAACTTTGAGATAAAAATAATAATGCTGGTGATCTACCATAAATGAATCATTGTTATCTTATGAATAGTTACTTTATCTGAACCTACTTCACCAATTATGGGGTCACTCAGCTTTATTTATCGTTTGAGCTAATATCAGAAGTTAGTCAACACCTCCTGAGGATGCAAAATGCCTTAGAACATTAGTGTTAACCAGTAAGGATATATGGTGAGAATACAGGAGTTAGAATATGAAAAAAAAATAATCAAAGAACTGATACTAATTGGATGACAGATCAATAGATTTGTCTTGCTGGTTTGCCAGTTCCTCTGAATGATAGTAATATCATATTACCACAATTCTTGCTTTTGTTTTCATCTTGTGCAGGCATGTTTTTCCTTCTTCGACAGCTAGAAGTCATTAGAAGTTAGAAACCAATTGGTGTTATTAAAAATACAAAGTCACATGTTGTGTTTGCTTCTTTTCATTTGTTGTCCACATTCAATCTATTTTTTGCTTACAACTTCCAGAATCTGCTATGTATTGCACATACATAATACTTTTATGTTGGAAATCAGCATATCTGAATACAACATTGTTCTGTAGGGAGGCACTGAGTACTCATTGTATTAATATGTCCACTGACTGACATTGCTTATGGTTGACAGTGAATTCTATATTTTTTACTTTTCTGTAATGGAACTCGCCCCCAAGTAATAACAATAAAAAACTGGTGAGGTGTGAAAGAACTTCTTACTTTCCATGTATAACATCATTAAGCTTGTGTTTTTAATTGTTTATTGGATTTTGTGCAAAGCTATATGAGGGCCATCTGCACGAGTCATTCCTTTTGAAGTGTTAAATTAGAGGGAAGACTAGTGGGATTTTTTGTTTTATTTGACTTTTCTTGGAAAACGTGACTGACACACCAAACTTGTATCAAGATTATTCAACAATTTTTCAAAATTAACAGATGAATTAGAACAGTAATACTTCAATTTTGTTCCAGTCTAATGTGCAGTCCAACATTCTAAACAAACATTAATGAAATATCCCACATTAACGAATCCATGGTCACTTAGGAGCACCTTTAGATCAGCCAGCCAAGTGAGGTTACTTAAGTCCACAGCAAATGTTTATTCTTGCCATTTCACTGTACTCATTTTAACTTTTTTATGATACCTCCTTTAATATTGTTAAAAACCAGGTCTTTCAGGTGGGCAACAATAATTTTTTACCAATCTATGTAATCTGTTTGATTTTATGGGTGGGTTGCATCAATTATGTATATATATATATATATATTACTCTTCTTCTGGTCTGGTAATGGAGCGTATGAAGATGTATTTTCTGTAGACAAAATGCAGTAGGTATTTTACTTAGTAAATAGCTTGTGACTTGAAAGTTCTGAACAGTTGGTTTTCTGCATCGATTATTTGACTATATGATACATGTCATTTGCTCCTTCTCCGATATTTAAGTATGGTAAATCTTAGATATTCATTCACTTGAGAAGGTATTTGATAAAAGGAAATACTGTCTTTATCCTAGATTTGAAAGCTAAAGAGATATTCTTTTCTGTGTATGCTATACATGGTTCATAGGCATAGGGGCTTGATTTTGACTGGGAGGGCTAGCAAAATTTGCCAAAAAATATAAAATCATGTACTATAAGGTTTAAAGTTTCTTGAAAAATCATATGGCGCTGAAGGGTTAAAAAGGTGCAAGTGAAAATGTCACATGTGGGTAATATATTTTCTGAAAAGGCATAATCAGTTTGCAAATATAAAAGTTATAGATATGTACAGAGCTTTTGGGTGATTTTTGGGCCAGAATTTGTGGGGGATTACTTCTCTTGACCCCCTCCTACACGTATGACAAGGTTGTAAATATATTAATGACGATAACAGAGTAGCATAAGATGTGCTGTTCATAGCTTTTGTGTGGAGTGAGACAAAGACTTCTCTGAGTATGAAATGTTTACTATGTAAGGTTTATGGGATGTAATAATGTATGTTTGTCTTTTTCTTTATCTCTAGAGAATATGAATTGTGGAAGTGGTGAAATAGAATTCATTTGTTAGACTAACAAGTATCTGCAAGACAATCGCACAAAACAGTTTAACTGTACTTCATATAGATAAAAATGATCTATACTCTAAACAAGGTGCCCCAGTTGTCATTATCCCCCCAAATGTAAAATTGTTTTGCTGCCTATGCACTTTTATGTTTGAATATAATTATAAACAAGGCAGTTCAAGGTATTTTCTATGATTTTATTTTTTTCAAGAATTTCTTAAAGTACTCATGGCTTGACCATCTGTCAAGTTAGTATCTTTATACAACTGATAATATTACTGTTCGGTACTGGAGAGTAAAACTTTAAGAAGGGAGATAATAGCATATTCAGAGGATATTGCAAAATATGACTCACTTTCCCACCAAAGTAATCACCTTTTTCAAAAGATATTATGGCACTCCAAGGACCATATTCTAGCAAACTTCAAAATCTGAAATTCCTGCTCATGGTTGCAGTGTATTTCTATACTATAACTATTACATACATAAATGTTGGTCATTAACATTTTTGTGTATACACCGTATTATTAAGTGTGTGAAGGTACAGTACTAAAAACCAGTCACTCTTCAATTCATATTACAACCGATCATGGTGAGCAAATATATTCCTTGTTACGATACTGCATGTGGATTCTTCATAAAAACAAAGACTATTTGAAATTAAAGTACAGAACTGTTTATTTTATATTGTAGCTGATAGTTACTGCTTCTCAGCTTCTGGCTGTTCATCCTCTTGGATTAGCTTGTTATGAATCTCCATCAGCCCTTTAAAGTACTTTACAGTTTTTACACGCAATTCATGAGTGGCGTCCTCATCACACACAAAAATTGTTCGAGGGTGAAGCTGGAATGCTGAGACAGTCCACATGTGACTCACACCTTCTTCAATAGCCTTGTACAATGCAAAGGATTTGTGTGCTCCAGTAATTATGATCATCACCTATGTTAAAAAAGGGTTCAGGACTATATTATATATATATATATATATTTGTAATAGAAGAGTGCTTAAAAGTATGACAGAAGTTCAGTATAGGTAAATAACTTTGGAGTATATTTTATCACTTAAGAAATCAACTTCAATAAATTGAAATTAGAAATAGCCCAGCTCATAAAGAACTAAGTGCCAAACATTCATTGCTGTGAAAAACTGTAGAATTATAGAAGTTTACTGTTAATAAACAACTTTTGAGTATATTTTATCACTAAAGAAATTAGACTCCTGTAAATTAAAATGATAAAGATTCCTGATTTTTTTAAAGAACTAACACTAACAAAAGTTCATTACACTTTCTATCAATATAAAAAAAGCTTTAGAATTATGAACCAATTAATTAAGAAATACAAAGTTAGAAAATTTTTAACATCAGCAGACCTTATTAAGCAATGCAATTTCAACACTAAAACTAACAATTATGGTATAACTATTGCACATTACATGTATATCATAATCAGGCTATGTTTACTTCATGCTGTACTCTTTAATATCCAAAAGTCTATGACACTGACTAATAAATGATAAAATCCTCAAGTTTTTATCATAAACACTGCCTAAAAAAAACAAATGAACTAGTATGTTTATTGGCTTCTAATATTCATATAACTGCATGATACTTTTATACAACCACAATCTAGAAGATCTAACATTATGAGTGCGGTAAAGTAACAGAGCAGAACTATTTCCTGGAGGTGTTCTCATTTATGTTTTACAGGTACGTTTATAGAAACAGACCTCACGAGCATCCATGACTGTTCCTACTCCTACTGTCAATGCTTGTCGAGGCACTTTTGTGAGGTCATTGTCAAAAAATCGGGCATTTGCTAAAATGGTATCCATAGCAAGTGTTTTGACTCTAGTACGAGAAGCTAGACTAGACCCTGGCTCATTGAATGCTATATGTCCATCAGGTCCAATCCCTATGTGTGAAGAAAAACATATTTCATGCTATTAATTGTAACCACAACTGATTATGTCAAAGTCATGGTTATGTATATTTTGAAACACAACTTCTCATGAAAAATGACTAAGGTATTTAATTTTTTAATTTATTTTTAATTTAATTTATCAAGTATTATATCTTCATTTGATTTTGTAAATGTTATCATTTCATAACTGTGTATACATTTAATTTGTATTCAGTATGCAAATTACATGTATATGGAAAGCAATCTCATTAGAAAACAGAATAATATAACTATAAATAATGCATAATTTCATTTGATAAACACGTTTAGATTGAATGGTAATTTATAATCAGTCACAAGAACGTCGAATCTGAATCACTTGAAAAAAACACGGGGGTGCTTAACTTTTTTCCAGGTGTATAATAGTGAGTAATTGATCTGTAGTCAGAAGTATTATTGAGCACGTTCTTTGTTATAGCGTTTGTTTAGCGCGATTGTTGAAGTTGAGTGTATGGGTAAAGTTGTATTCGGAAAGAATAAACCAGTTTTATTAAGTAAAGAACTTGTGTCGCTAAAGTTTTGTCGGAACGAAGTTACGGAAAGATAATTAACAAACGGAGACGTAACATCATGATATGTAAATTAAAAATTGTTATTTTACGGTGATAATCTTGTTTTCTTGTGCCTCTATACACACATTACCT